AAATCTTGGACTTTGCCTTGAGTGATTAAGCACAACTGGGATGCTATTGTAAAGGAGGAACAGCACAGGCTACTATTCGGAATATTAAGTTATACCCCAATTTTAAGAGGGTACAGAAGAGTAGGACTCTTCACATTCCTTAGCTGACTATAATATTAAATAGTCAAAGTTTAATTAGAGACAATATGTTTAGATTCTAACCCTTATCACATAACATGTTATATAAAGCATGTTAAAGTAAAAAGCAACTAGTGATTAATTTTGAGGGAAAAGTAAAACTTACAAACTGCTATGTTATCAGGTTAGGAGCTCTGGTAGTTGACTGCTAACCAGAAGACTGGCGGTTCAAACCCACTAGCCAATCCTCAGAAGGAAGATGGGGCAACCTACTTCCGTAGTGCTACTGCCTCGGAAACCCAAGGAGGGGTCGCTATGAGTCAGGTCCAACTCAACGGCACATAACAACGGCAACAACAACATGTATCAGGTAAATATATTAAACATTATAACATTATGCTCTCTATTTTATAGATGAGAAAACAAGTTAAGAGGTTAAAACCTCACTAAGTAATTCAAGGATTGGTGAAGCCAGTACCTGAATCCTAGATTTCATGTGCTTATTCCACCAGTGTGCAGTACCCCTCCCAAAAACCCCATTCTTCTAGGTGTCAATTCACACAGTGGCTGAACAACAACAATGGAATAAGGACAGTAGCTTTTAAAATTGTGTTTTTTATGTATAATTCATGGTCACTAGCTATATTCCAACAATTAGCACTTTTGAGATTTCCTAAGGCAAAAGTGAGTACATTCACTCCTTGCTTATCAACATGGTTAGGTTGCAAAGAACAGGCCATTATGCAAAAATTGGTGTTATGCAAAAATGGAGGATGACCATGTCAGATCACATTTCATTACATAAATGCCCAATTGCATCACTTTATAAACGCCAAACCACTGAGAATCACGGCTGGCCAATAACCTTAAACATCACAGCCAGCATTATTCTTGCCTTGCACCTTGATGTTCATTGCTGCCAGACGTGTGCTGTTAATGTGAAAAAAAAAAGGTTGGATAGTACTATTGTCCTAAACGTGAAATATCAGGTAATGAGATGGTCAATAAGCGAGAAGTAAGTGTAGTCGTTATATAGAGATACAGGTACACTATTGGCATTCCATCAAAATATACTAAAATCTCCTGCTTCTTTTTAGCGCACTCACATATATCCAGAGACTCCACCCCCACCTTACCTGATGGTTTAACTAGCAATTCCTCAGACTCAAGGGCAAGCCGGGGAGAGACTTCAGGAGCCACAGGTACAGACAAGGTTAGCTGTGGCAACTCAGCAGGTCCACTTCCAAGTTCTGACTGAGCCAAAGGCCCTTCCAAAAATGGAGCCTCCCTTTCAAGAACTGGAGGCTCTTCTTTGGTTGAAATCAAAGAATTCTCATCTACTTGCTTGTTCTGAGCACCAGACCGACATCGGGCTAGAAGGCTTTCCTCCTCACAATGGGAACTCGCCTGAGAGCAAAAAATAAAAATAGAATTCACAAGGCCAAGTTGTTGCAATTTGAGTGTCAAAAAGAGTAATGCAGTTGACTTATGTACAGGTAGTTCCCAGGCTACATGAGATTCATTCTTAAGTCTGTCCTTATGTCAAATTTGTAGGTAAGTCAGAAGGGCTCTGAACTGATTTAAACTGGCTGTCGTGGCTGACACAGCAAAATCACAACAGATCTGAATTTTTTACAATCTACGTAAAGTAGAACAGCAACTGGAACAAGAAAAATTATGGGTTGAAGCCCTGGAACGGAAGACTCAGAAGAGGTGTAGTGAGCCCCTTCAGAAGCCTAATGCAGGAAACTGGATCACAGCCAGGACTGGGGAGAGTGACACATATTCAAAGTGGCATAAGCAGTGCCATCTCTGAGTGACACACTGCTGTTTCTGACTCTGATGGTTAAGAGTTTGGATTCTATGCAATGCACATGCTCCCCTTCATTTCTAAGAGGGAGACTGAATTTTCAGTAGGGTACTGATCCTTAAATTTTCCTGTCCCAGTTATCATTCCAATACACCTACGTTTTATAAATCCAGGTCTGTTCTGGAGTTGCTTCATCAGCCACAAATGAACTGGGAAGAACCAGTTTGAAGCCTTGGTCAGAACAAGTGCAAATAGTTCTTATTTAGGGTCAGTCAAATATTTGTCTTAGTATATATTTTACCTTTCTATGCATATAAAACACTCAATAAACAGTTCTAAATACACTAAAACATGTTAAACATAATACAGTATGTAATAATACAGTAATAAGAAGAGTAACTACAAGATACTGTACTGAAGACAGAGAATCTGTATACAGTACTGTTAAAAAAAATTAAAGAAATAGTTCCTTAAACAGTTTAGATAGAAAATAAAAGAAAAAAGATCATGATTAAAGGTTAACACTTACTCTTGTTCCATCGATGTCTTGCATACCGGAAGGGGCATTCGTGAGGTAACCTCCTTCCTCAATTATTTTTTTCAACATTTCAGGAAAATCACTTGCAGCACTTACATCGGCACTCGCTGCTTCACCTTGTACTTTAATATTGTGTAAATTTGCCCTCACTTTGAAACGATTGAACCAACCCCTACTTGCAACAAATTCTTCATCACAATCACCTTCAGTTGCTGCACGTGCAGCTTTTAAATCATTGTAAAGGCTTCGAGCCTTTTCTTGCACTAAAGTAAGGCTAATAGGCATATTATGCTGATTTTGATCGTCTAACCAAATAATCAATAGCCTTTCCATTTCAATAATTAAACCACTGCGTTGCTTAGTAATAATTGTAGCTTTCATCGGGGCAGAGCCTTTCACATGCTCCATTATTCTCACTTTATCCTTTAAAATTGTTCCGATCGTTGACCGACTGTAGCCTAACGCTTTTCCAATGACCGATGGCGTTTCACCTCTTTCCGATCGCTTTATTATTTCCACTTTATTTTCAATCGTGATCGTTTTCCTTTTCTTTGATGCATCACCAGCACTTGCATCGGATTTACGCTTTGGAGGCATGGTTACAAGGGTAAATAAGAGGAAAATTTAAGCCAAATACAAAGTTACACACTCAACACAGTGTTAATGGCAACGTGATCCGACTTAAAAAGGCGGACTTCGTTCTCTTTCCTTGAGCGGACAAACCGCTGAAGCCACGCAATGTTGTAATGAGTATCACAAAGTAGTGCGTGTGTTCATTATTACGAACCATTGTATTTAACTCAAATTTTTAACACCATAGGCTTTATGGTAGTCTGTTCTTAAGTACAAGTTGTCTATAAGTCAAATGTTCTTAACCCAGAGAGTACATACACTGAACCTACAAAAATTCTTAAGTCTGTAATGTTAATCCAAACAAAAAAAGCTGCTCTAAAGTTGTCACCAACTAAAGCAGCTAATAATGTGCTCCTCAATGTTAAAATTGATAGTTAATGGGAGAGAAATAATATTTGTTCTGCCTTTCAAGTATTTCAGGACAGTAAAAGAGTTCAGTAAATGAAGGAGGATGTCAGCTAATAAAAGTAGAAGAAATAATAAAATCTCAAAGTCTTCATTTTGTAACCACTAATGAAATTACTGATACAGGCAAGGGTCTTCAACTGATGTTAAAACCATCAGGAAATAGCTAGATGGGGAATAGGATGTGCTTCTGGAGCCAAAATAATTACACACTTACTGTTAAAACTGGCTATGGAAGAAAACGTTCTACATTTTAGAGGTGTATATTAAAATATATAGGAGTAGAATGTCAAAATGTCTCTAATTTACTTTAAGATATTTCAGTTCAAAATATTTCAGTTTAGAAGTTAAAAATAATGCAACTAAGCTATCATAACAACAGAAGTATTTTCAAACTAGTTTATAGTGATGGTTCTAAAACTTAGTAAACTTAATAAAAATCATTTAATTTACACTTAAAACCAGTGAATTTTATGGTATATAAATTATACCTAAAATACAATTATTGTTAATAAAAAATAAAGTTCCTCTCAAGACTGAATTACAATTTTTTAAAAATTAGGGTCATACTGTGTATTTTATATCCTGTGTTAGTCACTTAATGTTCTATCATGACAAGATTCCTAAATCCTTAAATATTCTTTAAAGCGAAGGAAGAAACACAAACATACACATAGTATATTGACTCATTTATACTCTATTCAGAAACAAATGTTTCTGCATTCAAATTATATTTTAATGACTCTGTTTCTGAATAGAATCATTAAAATATAATTTTTATACATTTCCTGAATAAATCTTGTATGTTATGCATTGAAGCTGAGGATAGAAAACTGAAAAAGATCCCCAGTTAAGCAAAATACTGCCTGATGAAGACAAAATATGACACTGAAAACAAAACTACAGTATCCAAAAAGGACCAATGAAAATTTGTTGAAATGATGAAACATACCTTGAGTACCTGTTCCTGAACTTTCTTTTGTTTTTTCTTAGGAGCAAATATCTGATCATATTCTTCTGTATATTCCAGAAGCCACTTGCTTGGCTTCCTAAGGCGTTTCTTCTCTGATCGCACAGCTAAAAGAACAGTTTAGTATTAAGCAATAAGGCATAGAAAAACCAATTGTTCCCATGCATCTATCCATATGCCCTCTGAGGTACAGAGGTGGGAAAGTACCTAGCAAAAAAAACTGTGGCTTAAGCTCCAAGAGGCTCAAAATTGATTTGCTATGGTTTCTTATGTAAGAAAGGGTTGGAAAGGGAGAGAACTCACATTAGTCTACACACACATGCATACCACTCAATCTTAAGGACTGGAAGAGGTTTACAATACTTAAGAAACTGTCAGCCGTGTAACATTCATGAATCTCTAATTCTAACATCAACCCCCTAAGTAGGTAAATTAAAATTAGTGTCCTACAGTTACTGATATTTGTACAAATTAACTAACATAAAAATATAAAGTCTAAATCAAGACCAAAACTGATAATATGTATCATGGGTTATTTAAAATAATATCTTCCAAAATCATTTTAGATAAAATATTTACCTAATGAGCACTACTTACATGAATTTCAAAAAGCACTTTACAAAGATTTCATCAAGTAAGCATCACGTGGTTGTAAAATGAGTTTCAAATTAGAAAAAAACTGAAAAATGTTTCTAAATAGTCATTAAAACATATAATATTAATTATATATACACCATTATCTCAATGACATTTTTTTAAAATGTCATGTATGCCAAAAAACAGAGTATGACAAAAATATAGAATTTGAGGTACTTTGCATCAAAGGTGAAATGTATCTATTACAATACCCTGTAAAATTCTGTACTCGTTTTAATGCATTTAACATACTGTTGTTGTTATGTGCTGTCAAGTCAGACCCGACTCATAGCGACCCCTCCTTGGGTTTCTGAGACTGTATCACTACGGAAGTAGATTGCCCAACCTGCCTTCCAAGGAGTGGGTGGTGGGTTTGAATCGCCAGCCTTCTGGTTAGCAGTCAAGTGCCTTAGCACTTAGCACAACTTAGCAACAAGTTGTTGTTGTTGTTGTTGTTTGCCATCGAGTCGGCCCAGACTCATAGCGACCCCTCCTTGGGTTTCCGAGGCAGTATCACTACGGAAGTAGGAATGCCCAACCTTCCTTCCGAGGAGTGGCTGGTGGGTAAGCTCCTTTAAAGCAGAGGCTAGTGCATATAGAATGTAGGATATAATCTACTCAAAAGGCATTCCATGATGTGATAGGTGACTTATGGAGCCAAGATGCTCCTGCTTCATTGAAGTCGCAATACTTATGTTCTCTTCCATAAAAAAGAAAGTCAAGAAAACAAAAGTAGGAACACAATAGAAAAAGGTCACAGGCACTGCAAGTTTCACAAAGACTCTTACTCTTTACAGGACACACAGAAACAAGCCATAAAATCTTCATTAGGACAAGATGTGGAAGATAAATTTCATTTTGCTCATTCTAATTGCTCTAATTTCACAGTACTAATATACCTTCTAGGAGCTCTGGTAGCTTAGTGCCTAAGGCACTTGACTGCTGACCAGAAGCCAGGCGATTAAAACCCACCAGCCACTCCTTGGAAGGAAGATGGGGCAATCTACTTCTGTAGTGATACTGCCTCAGAAACCCAAGGAGTCGTCGCTATGAGTCGGATCCGATTTGACAGCACATAACAATAACAACAATATACCTTCTAGTTTAATTATTACAAGTCATTAGAAAAAAATTTTAAGTTAATGTTAGAAGCTGAAATACTTATAAAAATCACATTCTTACAGAACACCCAATATTATTATGGGCCTAGTTAAAAGCTCACAATTGTTAGAAATTTTCCTCACTTTTCCATTTTAGACAAATAACCTATATATTCTCCAATTTGGAGGGTTTTTCCTAAGCAACTGTTTCAAAAGAAATTAAAACCAACAACCAAGCAAATACTATAAATATTCCCCCAAAATAATAATGTCTGAAAAATGCCTATGAAGAAAACAAATAAGCCAAAATACATCTTAGAGAAGATACATAAATGTATCTATGATGATCAATGGTAAGTACTTTCTGCTCTGAGGTAAAAAGGTTATATTGCATTAGACATGCCATCTAAGTTTTCAAACACTAGTACCAGAAATAAGATCAAAGATGTGGTAGAGAATACCAAAAGTTTACAATGTATAAGACACTGTCAGCCACTGACATTCATGAATCTCTAATTCTGACATCAACTCCCTAGGTAGATATGCACTCGGCTGCTAACCAAAAGGTTAACAGTTTGAACCTAACCAGGGGATCCCAAGAAGAAAAATTAGCTAATCTGCTCCCATAAAGATTATAACCTAGAAAACACTATGGGGCAGTTAGTTACATGGGATCTGTGACATGGGGTCATATAAGTCAGAACTAAGGGAGCAGCATGTGACAACAAAAATAGTCTAAAACTGGTTATGGTGATGGTTCTATAACTTTGAAATTTTATTAAAAATCATTGAATTATATACTTAAAGTGGATGTATTTTATGTTATGCCAATTATACCTTAAATAAAGTTTTGGATTTTTTTTAAAGTCCCTTTCATCAAGGCTGAAATTACAAAATTTTCCCCTTTACATCAAAATTGTAGTATTAACAGCAACATCATTCCTCCTGTACAGAATTTAGTACTTGCTCATACTTCTACCTCCCTGGTTCTGGAATCACAGCCGCAATGGTGTTTTTTAATAAAGCAAAAATTCACATGGGAAAAGTTAGTCCAAGGGACTGCATACCATGTGATCCTTAGCCTATCTAACTATGAGACCAGAAGAAATAGATGGTGCCTGGCTACTACTTCAACCACTCGAAGGGGAATCTATGTAGAAGATCCTGGGTAGAGTGGGAGAACAATGTGGAACACAAAACTCAAAATCATTTAAAAAAAAAAAGGTAGAGCCTGGTGGAAACCCTGAGACTATGGCCCCTACCTGCCCTTCAGGTCTGGAATTGAACCCACTCCTGTGGCTTCCAGCGAACAAAGGATAGGCATAAGAGCTGAACATTTACATTAGGTAGGTACACTCCTTGGAGACATCAATCATGGGAGAATAGAAGGGCTGTGGATGCACAGGGAAACAGCTGGGTGTGTGTGTGTGTGTGTGTGTGTGTGTGTGTGTGTGTGTGTAGGAGTACATGGGAGGGAAGGAAACAGGGAAGAGGTAACTATGCGGAGGAAGTGGGAAGAGAGCTGTTGCACTGTGGGAAATTAGTCAACATCATGAGGCAAAGTGTACATGAGCTGCTGTATGGAAAATGAATTTGCTCTGTAAACCTTCACCAAAATCTCATTTATTAAAAAAAAAAAGGCAAAAATTCAAACAACCCCTCCTAACAATGACAACATTATTATGCAACCAAAAATGGTACATAAAGTGTTTTTAACACCTACTTGAAAGAATCAAAACACTGGCAAGAAGGTAATGGAAAAGAACTACAAACCAAAAACTAGCAGAAATAGAGCAATGACGTGGATTTTGTCCTCAGGATTTTGTGGTGATCCAGTTGTGGTGGTGGTAAATGGTTAATATAATCATCTGCTAATCAAAAGATCAGAGCTTCAAGTCTACCCAGAGGTACCTCAGAAGAAAGGACTGATGATTTTCTTCTGAAAAATTACCCATTAAAAACTCTAAAGAACACAGTTCTACTTACACAATGGGGCCATCATGAATTAGATCTGACTCAAACTCGGAAGGAAGGTTGGGCAATCCTACTTCCGTAGTGATAACTGCCTCGGAAACCCAAGGAGGGGTCGCTATGAGTCGGGGCTGACTCGACGGCATACAACAACAACAACAACAGTAACTGTGTTTTTAGGTTTGTTGTGAAGAGGACAGAAGTTTACAGAAGACTAAACTGAAGGCCCCAAAATGTTCTATTCTCAGGGTAATGGTAAAGCAGAAGGAAATATCCCCAACATCACCATTTCTACCTCCATGAGACCAAAAAGAAAGTCGCCTTGGCACAAAGTGAACTAGTAAGTCCTTAAGAAGCTGTGGGCATTGACTGGACCCTCCTGTGGATTTGTAGACTGACGGCCAAGAACTTCAAGCCCCCAGGTGCCTGGCATAAGCAAATTCAAATCTTCTTTGGAGGAAACAATTAAGACCTCATACAGAATAAAAACCTTACAATAGTATAAACGAATTCCATTTAATTTTTGAGGAACAACTATCAGTAAATATAACCAAGCATAAAAGAAAACAAAATAACCATGAGTGAAAACCAGCAGCTATTCTCCAGACACACACCCAGGTCATCCTCTTATACACAATACTCAAATACTCCCACCTAAGCCAGCCAGATCCACTGTGATCACTCTATTTAAACCTAGAACCTCCCAGCAGTCCCCATCTACTTAATCCTCCTTTACATTCTTTACATTCAAAGGAATGTTTATCACTTTCAATAGCTACTAATGTCAGAAAAAGTGAAAAGCAGGTATTATGTTCCTCCATCAAAAGGACAAAGACCACCTATGAACTAGTTGGGGGGGGGGGATGAAAAAATCTAATTAATCCTTTAGAACCAAGAAGAAGATCCTCTGAAGAAAAGGCCTGAAAATCTACTTCCAAAAACTCAGCCATTGAAAACCCCATGGAGCACAGCTCTACTCTAACACACAAGGGGGTGTCACCAGTCAGAATTTACTCCACAGCAACTGTTTTTTAAAAAAAAAAAAAACAAGAGGAAATACAGAGGTCAGAGGACCATATTAAACCCACAGAAATGGAATCAGTAAAATGAATACTGTGGGAAAATTTACAGGACAAATCTTAGTAAATAAGCTTCTAGTCTTCTATTAATCCTGCCTGTTCTATGCTCTAGGTTATTCTAAGACATAAAATAGGAGCTCTTAATTTATCAAAGTCTGAAGTTAATTAATATCTTTGCCATCCTCCCAGAAAGCAAAAGGAAATAAATCCCATCTGTCTCTATCCCTACTAATATTCTATTGTTGTGACATATTTTAACAGAAATTTTTAATTCCATAAAGCACTGTTATCATTACATTTGGTCATTGTTCATTTGGATTT